TAAGAAGTATGAAGCTCATAAAACAAAATCTTAAAGAATTCGCCAGGGATCTGCTGCAATGGAGCAGACTTTAAAATAGATAGCTTTTATATGGTGGTACTTGCCATAATAGACACGGACCATTAAAATGGTGAATTTGTGCCTGAAAGCGAAATTATGCCCCAAAACTAAACAAGTAGGTGTTATCATTATCCTTTGATGCATCAATGAATAGTACAAGTATTTTTGCATACATGAGCATATATATAGTATGATGAAATATTTATAGACAGGACATTATGGTTACGCAAAAGGGTAGTTTACCTCCTAATGTAAAAAGTCCAAATGTTACCTTGTCAACTGAGCTAATACAGCTAGACTTAAGAGCAGTCAGCAAAGTGATTAATAAGCCATTTATTGAGTAAAGTGACTAACAAAAAGAAAGCGTCCTTACGAAGTACTTACTCTTCCTCAGCTATTGAAAATACTTCGATGACCACGAAACCAGGGTGTTTATTAGGTACAGCGTATAGCGTAAATCATAATTATTATTTTTGTCATTAATAGTAGTTTTCGACACATAAACGCCATTGCCACCGCGTTTATTTCATTGTTTATTTGATAGCCCCAGGTGGACGACTCTTATGTGGTGAGCCTAGTTTTTAATACCAAAGTAGAAAAAGTGTTTTATTTTTAATAATCTTCTACAACCTTCTCATTTTAAGTTTCCAAATCGCGAGTAGTAAGCTCGTAGTTTTATTAGAATCTCTCCCAGATGAGACTATAAAATACAAACTTCAAATAGTAAGATCAAAGACAAACACAGTTACACACAGTAGAGCTACCTCAACATAAATACAGAAAACACCTGGAATAAAAAAATTAACGTGTGATACCTCGTTTAATTAATAAAGAGAGCAGGAAAAATCATCAAAAAGTGCACTTTATTAGCAGACTCTAATTGCACACAAGTCCTAATACGAAAAACATAATAGGTCCTGGAAGAGCACAAGTAAGTGACTGCAAAATCATCTTTATAAAGTTTGCATGTAATGTATACTACGTTCCAATATAAATTGGCATGTATTAATTATTTTTCAGGACCACAAGCCGCTAAAGTGGCTGTAGAAGCTATAAATAAGAATACTATTATCGTTGACACTCTTGTTGAAAAGCTAAAAGAATTAAAGAAAATCGAAAAAGAACTTTTTAATCTCCAGAAAGAGTATCATACACAACAAAATAAATACTTTAACTCTGCAAACGATTTTTTCAAAGCTTTAAAGAAGTATTTTAATAAGAAAAATTAATATCTTGCTCCGAAGAGGAAGAGACACTAGGGTTACTGCGTTATTATTAAACTTAAGAACTTCAGTACGTAAAAAGCACTAGGTTTTCGACCATAAACTAATTTTTTTACTTGTTTGCGAATAAAAAAAAGAACTTCCAGCAATTTTTGATGAAATTTACAAAGTGAAATGGAATGAAAGAGAAATTTTTCATTTTTTATCAGGATATTTATTAAAAGTTTCATTTTCACGATGTTTATTCAATACATGTATTTTATGATCTTTTAATTTGTTTAAATAAAATGCACGCTGTTGAATGATTATTTATCACAAATCCTTAATTTTAAGCTATCTTGCAACAATTTCCAACCATCTCGTTACTTTCTTTATCCATGGTGGAACGTATTCTAATTTTTCTTTGTATCAATTAAGTTTAAACTGTTCGTTATGGATTGTCTTAAGTTAATCCTTTTTTTTGTGTATAAAAAAAGTTAATACTTAGCGCTTATCGAATATGTATTTTTTTTTTTTTTTAGTATTCTTTTATCTTGCATGATTAGTTACTGGGATTTCTGTAGATCAGTAGACCTTATATCTTCTTTCTGTCATCATTAATTGAATACATATACACATTTTTTATGATGCAGAGGTACATAGCAAGTGCAATTGCAAAATAAATATGTATGTAGTTACAATACACCTACTTGTTTTAGCATACATCACATTTGCACGTCGGGACCTGAATGTTGCCTTTTTTAGCCCAAAAAAGTTTTTGAGCGTCGTGCGTAAGAATCTCAAGGTCTACGAATTACGAAAATGTGACATACAAAAAGGGTCTTTTTTACGATGCTTTAAAGCCCCCCTTTAATTTTTTGCGAAGAAACAGAGCTATAATGTTAAAGGGCTTACCTTAACAAAGTCCTTGAAATTTGGCATGGTAAGTTTTTACTATTATTCTCATAACGTCGCTTATAAAAACGTTATTAAGATTTAAAGAAATAAAAAGTTGTATGATTTTTTACTCACCGTTCATATAAAAACTGTAAAGACCAATAAATGCCTTCTTCTTGCCATTGGGAGAAAAAAAGACATCTCAAAACAGCCACATCTAAAAATGAAGCTGCACGCACATCAAAATCTACTGTAAAAGAAGATAATTGTTTCTTACACGATAAAGAATTAACAAGTATTTAAGTTACAGGTGTCATACCATTGGCACTATTCTGATTCCAGAGCTTAGTTGTTGGCTGCTTAGTATTTTGAAATCCATCACTAAAACCATACTTTTTGTAAATATGACAATTTAAAAATATAAAACTGTGTGAAAGTTGTAAATAGTTGTTATTTACTATTTAGTAAAACTTATAACTATTTCAGGTAGTAACTTAAGAATAACCCTAAGACAATTGTCAGATCTAGTGTTGCCTGAGGAATATCATACACTAGCAGCCCTCCGTATATTATACGAATATTATGCACTCACTCAACGGAATACCGTAGTGTTTTGGAAAATAATGTGATGCGTTTGCAGTTAAAAATTTATCTATTTCTGACACCTCTCAGAACAAACATCTTCTTATAAAAAACATATTTGTTCGGAATCCATATCATTTATTTGGTGAAGTAAAGAGCTATGAAAAGTAAAAAAAATATAGTTATGCTGAAAAGTAATGCGCATTCCTTACGCCATAAAATAATCGTTGGACCTAAAAGATCGTTGATTTGCAGTTTTTCCCGTATATTCTATGAACAGGACTATTTTTTTAAGCTGTAAAGATTAAAAACCCACATTAAATATAAAATAGAAATGTTTTTCTCCTATCCCACAAATTATGGTTACGCAAAAGGGTAGTTTACCTCCTAATGTAAAAAGTCCAAATGTTACCTTGTCAACTGAGCTAATACAGCTAGACTTAAGAGCAGTCAGCAAAGTGATTAATAAGCCATTTATTGAGTAAAGTGACTAACAAAAAGAAAGCGTCCTTACGAAGTACTTACTCTTCCTCAGCTATTGAAAATACTTCGATGACCACGAAACCAGGGTGTTTATTAGGTACAGCGTATAGCGTAAATCATAATTATTATTTTTGTCATTAATAGTAGTTTTCGACACATAAACGCCATTGCCACCGCGTTTATTTCATTGTTTATTTGATAGCCCCAGGTGGACGACTCTTATGTGGTGAGCCTAGTTTTTAATACCAAAGTAGAAAAAGTGTTTTATTTTTAATAATCTTCTACAACCTTCTCATTTTAAGTTTCCAAATCGCGAGTAGTAAGCTCGTAGTTTTATTAGAATCTCTCCCAGATGAGACTATAAAATACAAACTTCAAATAGTAAGATCAAAGACAAACACAGTTACACACAGTAGAGCTACCTCAACATAAATACAGAAAACACCTGGAATAAAAAAATTAACGTGTGATACCTCGTTTAATTAATAAAGAGAGCAGGAAAAATCATCAAAAAGTGCACTTTATTAGCAGACTCTAATTGCACACAAGTCCTAATACGAAAAACATAATAGGTCCTGGAAGAGCACAAGTAAGTGACTGCAAAATCATCTTTATAAAGTTTGCATGTAATGTATACTACGTTCCAATATAAATTGGCATGTATTAATTATTTTTCAGGACCACAAGCCGCTAAAGTGGCTGTAGAAGCTATAAATAAGAATACTATTATCGTTGACACTCTTGTTGAAAAGCTAAAAGAATTAAAGAAAATCGAAAAAGAACTTTTTAATCTCCAGAAAGAGTATCATACACAACAAAATAAATACTTTAACTCTGCAAACGATTTTTTCAAAGCTTTAAAGAAGTATTTTAATAAGAAAAATTAATATCTTGCTCCGAAGAGGAAGAGACACTAGGGTTACTGCGTTATTATTAAACTTAAGAACTTCAGTACGTAAAAAGCACTAGGTTTTCGACCATAAACTAATTTTTTTACTTGTTTGCGAATAAAAAAAAGAACTTCCAGCAATTTTTGATGAAATTTACAAAGTGAAATGGAATGAAAGAGAAATTTTTCATTTTTTATCAGGATATTTATTAAAAGTTTCATTTTCACGATGTTTATTCAATACATGTATTTTATGATCTTTTAATTTGTTTAAATAAAATGCACGCTGTTGAATGATTATTTATCACAAATCCTTAATTTTAAGCTATCTTGCAACAATTTCCAACCATCTCGTTACTTTCTTTATCCATGGTGGAACGTATTCTAATTTTTCTTTGTATCAATTAAGTTTAAACTGTTCGTTATGGATTGTCTTAAGTTAATCCTTTTTTTTGTGTATAAAAAAAGTTAATACTTAGCGCTTATCGAATATGTATTTTTTTTTTTTTTTAGTATTCTTTTATCTTGCATGATTAGTTACTGGGATTTCTGTAGATCAGTAGACCTTATATCTTCTTTCTGTCATCATTAATTGAATACATATACACATTTTTTATGATGCAGAGGTACATAGCAAGTGCAATTGCAAAATAAATATGTATGTAGTTACAATACACCTACTTGTTTTAGCATACATCACATTTGCACGTCGGGACCTGAATGTTGCCTTTTTTAGCCCAAAAAAGTTTTTGAGCGTCGTGCGTAAGAATCTCAAGGTCTACGAATTACGAAAATGTGACATACAAAAAGGGTCTTTTTTACGATGCTTTAAAGCCCCCCTTTAATTTTTTGCGAAGAAACAGAGCTATAATGTTAAAGGGCTTACCTTAACAAAGTCCTTGAAATTTGGCATGGTAAGTTTTTACTATTATTCTCATAACGTCGCTTATAAAAACGTTATTAAGATTTAAAGAAATAAAAAGTTGTATGATTTTTTACTCACCGTTCATATAAAAACTGTAAAGACCAATAAATGCCTTCTTCTTGCCATTGGGAGAAAAAAAGACATCTCAAAACAGCCACATCTAAAAATGAAGCTGCACGCACATCAAAATCTACTGTAAAAGAAGATAATTGTTTCTTACACGATAAAGAATTAACAAGTATTTAAGTTACAGGTGTCATACCATTGGCACTATTCTGATTCCAGAGCTTAGTTGTTGGCTGCTTAGTATTTTGAAATCCATCACTAAAACCATACTTTTTGTAAATATGACAATTTAAAAATATAAAACTGTGTGAAAGTTGTAAATAGTTGTTATTTACTATTTAGTAAAACTTATAACTATTTCAGGTAGTAACTTAAGAATAACCCTAAGACAATTGTCAGATCTAGTGTTGCCTGAGGAATATCATACACTAGCAGCCCTCCGTATATTATACGAATATTATGCACTCACTCAACGGAATACCGTAGTGTTTTGGAAAATAATGTGATGCGTTTGCAGTTAAAAATTTATCTATTTCTGACACCTCTCAGAACAAACATCTTCTTATAAAAAACATATTTGTTCGGAATCCATATCATTTATTTGGTGAAGTAAAGAGCTATGAAAAGTAAAAAAAATATAGTTATGCTGAAAAGTAATGCGCATTCCTTACGCCATAAAATAATCGTTGGACCTAAAAGATCGTTGATTTGCAGTTTTTCCCGTATATTCTATGAACAGGACTATTTTTTTAAGCTGTAAAGATTAAAAACCCACATTAAATATAAAATAGAAATGTTTTTCTCCTATCCCACAATTTTATTACCACAGCAAAAAATGTCCTGAAGGTTAATCTCTACATTTTCTATCGCCACAAAAAAACAAATACATATTCGACCTATTTAAAAATCTAGAAGATTGAAGAGACTACAATAAGGGTTATAGTAAAAAGCTGATCCCTCACTTAATACGTTCCTTATTTATCGATTCAAATGTTGCTTTAATCTCGATAAATGTTTGGTATGATTTTCTTGACGCCTTGAATTGATTTTGTTAGATATACTTGAAATTTTCCTTCCACTTCGACTTCTTGCATTTTGTGGCATAGTTAAGACTGTTGTGAGCCCTGAATACTATGTTTTTTGATTTAATTATGTTGTGATATATTTGTTAGAAAGATAATTCGACGTCCGACAACCCTGAAAAGGACTGGTGACCTTCTTAATTTAACTTTTTCTTGACTGAAATTTTCAGCAAACATGATTGCCTCTATACCTAAGAGTAATCTTTTCTGGCCTCCTATTGTAGAACCTCACTGATCAGAAAAAAAACTACAACGTTTAAAGCTTTGGAGCTAATCATAGAGCTCTTTCCCAATGTCTCCTGGTCTTAGGCGGTTGGTGTCTAAAGCACCTTTTTTTGCAGACTTAGTTGTTTTAATGATCTCAGATGGAGAGATCGGTTCATGATGCTTGCCCGTTGAAGATTGTCCCATTGGCTTGAGTTTATTTTTCCTTCATAGCTGTTAGGGTCTCCCAGCGCAGACCTTGGAGAGAATTAGGGATTCCTGGTTAAATGCTTAGAGTCAAGAGGGTAATATAGCGTCGTTGGTCACCAGGGTTCTTAGCTTTGCGAGGAATAACTCCGCTCGTGACGTCTGCTAGTAAATGACTGACTTGGTCTACTAGTGGACAGCTTTACATATATTTTAGTCAATGAATCGTTTCTGGAAATAGTAGTAAACATGTATTTGTTGGCAGGGTAGTTTAAACTAAGGTGGCCCTTATAAGAACTAATGAAATTAATGGTTAAGTAGGTAACTTAAAAACTTATAATGGCCCTGAAAACAGCCAGTGGTGAATCTTCCAGGCTATTCTTTATTATTATTCCTGATGATAAAGAGCTGGCTACGGGTAGCTTGATTCTTACCCTGGGAGTTTCGATGTACGGAGACTGATGGAGGGAGGTACGCCGCGCCACTGACCAAAGAATATCTCATCTTCATATCGTTTCCCGTATATCTAACTGCTTATCATTAGTCAGAAAAGTGGGCCTAGATAATACCTTCTCTGTAGGTATGCCGTTGAGACAACTACTAAGGAGGCCATTGTGGCTGCCCGTACTATTCAAGGCTGTCTTCCCTGGCTTGCATTTAAAGTAGAAAATTCTCTGACAGTACCAAGACAGATGGTTGAACGGCCACAAAACTCTGAAGTGTTGGAGCAGATTGTGCTCAGGCTAGACACGTCTCCTGGTATTCTATCGGAGACGTTGACGATCTGATCACTTATTTTTCCGTGGCACTCGGTTATCTTGGCGATTCGGGGTAAAACTAATTTGTTTTACTTGCCCCTGAAAGAAGGGTGTCATCGGTATCCAGAATGCCCAGCTGTACGACTAACACCTCTGTTTTTAGTGTACTGTCGTTGGATGACTACGATAATCGTCAACTTGATGGGGCAACTCATAATCATTTTTCACTTTCTTTGGTTGCGGTTTGCTTCAATTTTACCTCGACGCCACTTTGCAGATCCCACTAAACTAAAGTGCAAAGTTATCGTATTTTAGCAAAACTTTGAGCTTATTTATCGCTGTTGTTATTAACTTTTTCAAGAAAAAAAAATATGCAAATACTATCTTAGAATTATCAAGAATCAATATGCAAAACTTCAGGGAAATCGGCTCAGTAGTTTTCGCTGTTAGCGATTACAACGGTTTTAGCGACTTTGCTTCATATATGAGTCAGATTTTTAAAAATTTAGGGTTTGCTGAGCTTGAAGGTGTATCAATATTTTAAAATAATCAGCACTACTTTGAAAGACTTATAATATTAAGTTCAAAAGACATATGAGCAAGTTTTTAAATAAAAATTTTATTACGCAGCTCGATTGTAATAAGCTTATAGTTTTGTTTTTTTCTATTAAATCATTAATGATTTGTTGGTCTTGTGATACGGAGAAAATTAAAAAAACTATGAGGAATATCAGAATACATCTGTCGAAAATAAATTCATTTGTTCTATGTCTGTTTTCTGGTAAAAAAGCGCACATTTTGTAAATGAATTAAAATTTTATTGTAAATACTTATTTTTTAATGATTTTCAAATGATGTTCTTATATTTATTCAATTTATTTAGAAAAGCATAGTTGCAGAAGGTTAGCAATTGGAAATGTTTTTACTTTATTCAGTTTTAATTATATTTTTGTAAATCATAAATACACAACTAATTTTGTATATTTTTTTATTAAGAACTATTAAACTAAACAATAAGTTTTGTAGTTTGGTAAGGCTAATTTAACTTAATTATCTGCCGCACGTTTTGCCATATGCTTTTATGACGGTTTAGTTGTTGCTTTTTTTTTGTTCGGTGTACACAAGTCAAAGTTGTTACATTTTCTTATAAATGACAAATAGCTATGAACAATATTTTTTTGAAACAGAGGATAAATAAAATAAAGTTGGAATATTTCTTAACAACACAATACAGTTTATCACTCTGTTTATGATAAAAATTTAAGCTTCTTTATTTGTAACATCTGTGGTACTTGCTAAGGCCTCATTAACTAAATTTCATGAGATTGATAATAAAGTAAAGGTAATAATGTTAAAAAACACCATTCTTATTCTGTAGAGTCTTACACAAAGCAGTTTCCAAAAAAAAGTATATGTAATATTATTTAACACATTAAGAAAAATAATATGCATAAGCAAGCATGCATAAGCTCTAACTCAAGTATAAAATTAAATTAAGAAACAGATGTGTTTTTACACAGGGGATTTAAAGCAAACTTTGTGCACAATGTCTCTTTCACAGAACACAAAATGGGCTTTGATGAATTTGTTTTTAACACATCTGTTGTGTATTAGTAGGAAAACGTGGCTGCGTAAGTATATGTTAACGTTGAAATTTTGACAGATCATTAAGAAAAAAATCCTTATCTTTATTTTTTTTCAATACAAAAAAATATGATAAAAACGTAATCCTTCCTATGAATGACTAATTTAAGAATAAAAAAAAAAACCATTTAAAATGCGAAATTCGATTGCTTAGTGGTTAGTGTACTCGCCTTCTAGGCAAGGAAGCTCGAGGGATCGTTGGTTTGAATCCTATCGAAGACTATCAAGATTTTTTTAATGGGCTTTTTCCATAGGATGAGTATTCAGGATGCTGAAGTACCACTTATACAAATTTTAAAAAAAGATCGCCAATGTTATCTGGTGATCTCTGGACCTCCAGGGGCTTCTTCTATAAAGGAAAGCCAACACTGGCCAGCTTATGGGGTAAAGTATCTGTTGGTTGTAAAAAAGTTGGTACAGCAAGTTAAGATTGTTTATTCTAAAATATTATTCCATTAAACTTAATAATAGCTGGAGTATGCTTAAGACAATCACTGCACCCCATTAATAGTACCCAGTAGGATTTATAACAGATTCGTCTGAGAGGAACTTTGCAAGAGGACCGGACCGGACGAAAGACTTGTATACTTGGGGACACAGGATGGTTGTAACGAAAAAAAAAGCAAAAAACGTACGATACTTGAAAACGCATTGGTTTGACGTCAAATCTTTACCAGAATTTTAAATAATGAATTGTGATATCGCCGATTTTATATCAGGAAAAAACGTTTAAAAACCATTGTTCACGAGAAAAATGGCTTGTATTATATTATGTCAATTATTAATAACAAACGACACTCAAGAATAATAAAGAAGCCCTCGTAAAAACCTTTCTTTTTTTCAGACTCTGTGTCCTAGGAAACTTTTTACTTCCAGAAGCAGAAGTAATATGCATGCAAAAAACAGCTACTGTGTACCCATAATTTCAAATAATAAAGTGTTTAAATCGCTGTACCCGAGCTTTAGAGGAATGATAAACATGAAGCAAAACATTTTTTATTACAAATTCTTGTTTATAATCACTATGAATATACATACGATGTTGTTTAACTACAGTACATTGAGGGTTTAGTCAAATCTTGCGATAAAACTTTTTGCTTTTCATTACTCTGTCAAACGATGACAATAAAACATAATATTTTTAATGAATATTAAAAACCAATAATGTTATGTACTACTATAATCATTGGTAACTTTGTTAATAAAATTTGACAAAGTGTTAGAAATACTTAAAGAAAATCTGAGAAAATAACTTTCTCTGGAGTTAATAGGAGAAAAATTATGTTTAGTTACGACTTATGGCTTGAAACAAAAAATAGTTAAAAATAACACTAAGAACATTTTCTGTTAGATTCTACGATAT